GTAAACCGTAGGCAGAGAGGGAGAAGAGGACAACAAACGAGGGGCTGTGACAAACTGTTTCGTCGGAGTTTCACCGACTCATCAGGAGGCTATATCTATATATATATATATAGAGAGAGAGAGAAAGAGAGGACGAGAACGTGTTTTTTTCCATCACTGAATTTCACTGGAACTATGACAATCTCGCACACAAACCCGGAACCCTATAAACCACCACCAATCCGACCTGACCCCGGACCCGCTCCTGCTGCCACTCCCTGCCGCTGTTCCTAAATCCTACGTGGCATGTTATCCACGTCATCAACTATCGCCACGGACATGGCGGCGGCGCACCATGAACCGCCATGTGGTGGTCCACATGCTCGATCAGACTCTTGCGAACCAACTCCCCTAGCGCGGACCCGTTTGTAGGGTCATCGTCCACCATGGGCTCGACGTTGAGGTCGGGCATGTGACGAACGAAACGATGACGATCTCTCCGCCGCCGACGGCGTCTGCGATGACCGTCGTCACCATCGCTGTCGCTGCCACTATCGAGCACACCAGGGTCAAATTCCACCCTGTGCTCGATCATCAGGTTGTGGAGGATGCAGATTGCCATCACTTCCTTGCAAATGGTTTTCATGTTGCTGATGTGCGGTCGGATGAAATTCCTCCACACGGCCTTTAGTCGGCCGAAGCAGCGCTCGATGCAAGACCGCACCGCTGAGTGACAGTTGTCGTAGGTTCGTTCCTTAGCTTTTGTAGCCGTCCTCCCGATAGGTGTCATGATCCATGGCAGGAGAGGGTAACCTTGATCACCAAGCACATACCGTCCCACGTGTCTTCCGTCGTGCAGGTGTGCACCTCCCTCGCTGAAGACACCTGCCCCTTGCGAGACTTGACGGAACAGTTCCGAAATGCGCAAAACTCTCGAGTCATGCACAGACCCTGGGCACCCCACGTAAACACTAGTGATTCTGCACTCGTGGTCACAAACTACCTGGCACTGGACAGAGAATTGTCCTGTGTGATGGTAGTAGCATTCCCCGCGCATACCCTTCGGTTTGTCGATGTACAAATGGGTGTCATCGATTGCACCGATGCAACTGGCGAACCCTTTCGCCTCGAAAACGTTCTCCACTTCCTGCATTCGAGGGCCAGTCGGCCACCGAAGGAGATGGCCATACTCGCTGATGATAGCATCCGCGAAGAGGCACTCGCAAGGCCCATGCCCATGCCATGCGAGGTCTGCCGGTAATMCCCGCCGGTCGCCCACCTAATGAGAGCCATAGCGAACTTCTGACCAGCAGGAATAGGATTCCTGAAGTTCGTTGGGGCTCGCTGGATATGGGGTGCAATTCTACCCAGCACTTCGAAGAATAGCGGGCGAGGCAGTCTGCAGAATCGGACAAACAGCTTGTCGTGTTCACGGCCAATTCGCTGCAAATCCCTCCACACACCCCCGCTTCGTTCCACGACCCATATCCACCGTCGGCGCTCCATGCGTCTTCCCAACTCCTCTGCAGCCAAACTGGCGAGAGCGAATCCGTGCATCACCCTGCCTGTAAGGAGCGTCAACGACGTTCGCCGCGTCCCCGAACAGGAACGGGGTGAATGCAACAGCCTCGAGGACGGCCATGGCCGCCGCATTGCGCCTGTGCACCCACTGGGTTATGGCGAAAACCATGAAGAAGAGCATGTCTTCCCGCTCCTGTGAAGAACTTGCAGATGGAACCGGACTGTCAATCTCCTCTATTACCTGCAGTTTGCAAACCACCACACGACGGGCCGCCACACGCCTCCCACACGCCTCCCACACAAGCACACCTCTCCCCCGTGGATATGGAGCGAATGGACGCAGTTCCCGAATGCCCTCTGAAGTGGTCACATCACCACGGCGCTCTCCGCGATGCAGTTGTCACTTCCAAATAACGGACCGCATTTCATCGAAAACGAATTTGAAAACGACGCCGGGAGCCTCCTCAAAGGCTAGTTTCACACTCAGGGCACCATGTACCAGCAGGGGACAGCGCCACACAGTTCCACGGCATGTCGGTCGCGATGCGACCACGGCGTCCCGCACTTCTGCCGCTGGTTCAAGGAGCTGGACCTCTGGTTCACCACACTTTCCATTTCGGGAGGCGACCTGCCCATATTTCCTTTTCGGGAATGGAAGTCATTTTCCAAGAGGCGGGCAAGACCGTGGCGGTGGGGTCTCGACTTTTTCTGGAAATGGTTATCCAGACGGCGTTGGCCGTTTTTCGTGGCCGAACAAGTTTTCCAACCGCCGAGCAGTGGGGTCCAAGCCTAAGTCTGCAATAATAATAATAACAACAGAGAGATATTGTACATCAGAAAGAATCAAAATATGATTTCAAATCAAATGCTCTATGGGCCTCGTTAGACCCTCCTTGGGAAGACGATTTTTAGGAATTCAGCATGGTTACACTGCATCCTAGTCCACCGAATTCCTTGGATTAACGATGCCCAAAGTGAAAACGCTCCCGAGAGATTTCCTTGGGGATCCTCAGAATCGCCAGCCATTGCGTCCTTGGATTCAAAGGGTCCTCCTGAGGTCCCTTGGGCTCAAGGAGCCGCGATTGACGGAGAGGAGAGGACACACACGTAGTGGGGACGTTACAACGGTTGAACCAGGAGCGTGGCGACACCCTATTGGCTGAAAGCCTCAAGCACAACTGTTTATCTTTTTCTTTTTTCTCCCCCCCCCCCAAAAAGCTCCAAGGACGAATCTCTAAGCCGACCCTCCAAGGACACGGTGTAACGATGACACCGAATTCCTTGAAATTTTCCAAGGACTTCGTCCTAATTCCTGAGGATTTTTCAAGGAGGGTCTAACGAGGCCCTATTAGTCAAAGTGGATCACAGATTCGTGATAGTACTCACAAGTAAACCTTCAACAATATACTTCGAAGTTCGAGAGGGATTAGGTGGACTGAGGGAGAGCGTTGCAGAGTGGCCTAGCGCAATAGCCCGAAGCTGCTTGGGTGAGGTAAGGCGACGACGCTGCGGGCTGGGGGAGGGAGCCGCCACGGTTGAGTCGCCACGCTTGAGTGGTCTCATCCGCCCCTGCCGCTCCTAGCCATGGGGCTAGGCGTGGTTATACTGGCTTGCTGAGTCGAGAGTGCGTTGGTGTGTGGGTGTGCTGTGCTCGCAGGAGGATGCTCCATTACTGGGTATGGAGCTTGATCAGCGTGCTGTGCTCGCAGGAGGATGCTCCATTACTGGGTATGGAGCTTGATCAGCGTGCTGCTGCACGTCTGGTCTTCGTTATGGAGTCTCGGTTGAAGATGTAGTTGAAGAAGCCGCTTTAGGCGTTGACTTTTTGGCTGAAGATGCCGCTTTAGGCGTTGACTTTTTGGCTGACTTGAGGTCGGAATAACAGGAGCTCTCGCCAGGAGATGAAGATTGAAGATCCTCTCCAAGAAGAACGCAACGGGCATGCATCGTTTGTTGAGGGTTAGGTTTGGTGCTAGGGGTGGTT